GACCTTTCGTCTAAATTTGATGCAAAATAACACTTTAGAATGGCTTTGCGGGAATGATTGTGAATGTGGTGAGTTTAATTCAGAGCAGGAAGTAATTAGAGGTTTTCTTCTCTGAATTACAATCGAAGGAAAACAAAATTCCTTGGTAGGACCGCTGTATTTTTCTCCTACTTAGTTTGTATAATTAAAATAGATCTCACTGTCTAAATTAAATTCCACTGCCCGATACAGCATAAAGAAAACCCTTTTAATCGCAATGAATGGCCTGCATTTTAACCACCGATACATTTCACCAGAGTTTAAATGCAGCCTGTTAAGGCTGAGATGACAAAGAAACACTAATTGATTTTTTTTTAAATAACTGATTTGTATTGCACAAAGACCCTCACTCCATTCTCGGTTCGTGAAATTCTATTATTTATTTTTATTAATTATTCAATAACACTTCGTGATCCGCGGACAAGGGAGATCGGCAGGATGTGTAGCCCGGGTCGTGGGGCTCACGCAAACGATTGAGAGAGAGACTTTTATTTTTAACGTGACACACAAGCCGTTCGGAAAGCGAACTAAGCTGCTGAACTGCCAAAGCCGCTGTGCATAATGTCTCTGACTGTGCGTTTGAAACAGGCAGACACATTGCCAAGGGGTGACATTGTGTGGAAGCTGTCCCCCTTCTCTGCTCTGTGCCGGGGCTGTGGACTCAGGGCCCATTCCCAAACAGCCGGTGCTACAGCTCAGACCCCCCATTAACCCGGACCAAGGGGAACACACACAATGCAAAATCGGTTAAGTACATGTCTACCGGAAGAAGAAAAGAAGTTTAATTAGCATTCTGTGCAAGGGTGGGACCATTAGTACTTAATTAGCAGTAAGAGCACAGTTCACACAGAGGCGAGACCTATACAATATCCCTAAGGTCTATTCAGGGTTGCTCAGCAAATGAGCAGAACAAACCTCTTTGTGAGCCTCTGTGTGTGTCTGCGTCCACATCCTTCCAGACCTCTACATGTTTGCATTCGTTTTTGTGTCTCAGCCTGAATTTTGCTTTTCTAGGATGAGGACAATTTGCTACAATTGCAAATGCATCACATTTTAAAAAAAAATGTAATGTGCTGAATTCATTGCTTTATTGTCTGCAATAATGTGCGATCGAGAAATTGTTGAAATAGAGAGGCAGGAGCTCTCAGGATCTCGATCTGCAGCATTCCATTACTCCCATGGGCTCTTGTTTATGGGACCTGTATTCTTGTCGTGGTACAGCCTGATTTTAAAAATCCCACTTCAGCTGAGGAAGCAGACTACATTAATTGTCATCACATTAACATGTAAATCTCAGGTGCACAACCTTATTCCTGGAGGGGTTTCAGGGTTGTACTCCACTTATGCTCTTAGCTACCTAATGGGACGACTTATTACTCTAACTGGACTAGTGAAATGTCGAAGGTCTGAAGCCTTAAGCCTAAGGAGACCTGTGGGACCAACTGGATGGTGGCCGTTGAGGACTGGGCTCGTGTAAATTTGTGTAATAAAGTAACATGGCTCAGAATCGTGATGACACTCAAAGCAGTCCACCGGTATACATGCTCTGTTCTGCTTTGTTGAATATCTGGTTTACAGTACTATCCATTTCCACCCTGTAGTTTCAGCCCCTCTCCATAGTGGCTATTTCTTCTGAGAAGAAGAGGGACTTCTTCTGATGTACCTGCTGGCGCCTCTGTGTGTGTAGCACCCCCTTTAGTTTTGGCTGAGTGGGGTACCCCCCATGTCCCCCACACCCGCCCGCTACCTGAAGTCGACAGCGAGACCGAGCCGAGAGCTTTGCTCTCTACAGGACCACTTCACTGTGATCACCCAGCGACCTCCCCTCCCCAACCCCCCGACTCACAAACTCCCCCCAGAGCCCTGCACAGGGGGTACGTTTCCCTTCCCGAAACTTGAGAGGGGAACCTGTCATTTTCCAATTTTCTATGAATGCCACGCAGGCAGGATCGAATGTCTTTTTCCCACCAGGCTTCACAATCTGCACCAGCGGGCTCTCGTGTGTAATGCTAGAGTTAAATTAATGCTTTGATGCTGGGTAATAGTTTATGACAGATAGCCTTGACAAGAAAGCTGATGTGTTGTTCCAGGAAAGACACAGCAGGAGCTTTCTAAAGGCTCAGTGCTGACATACCTGTAAGATTATACCTGGCTGGCTAGTAGGGACTCTGAAAGCTGTAATTTCATTGAGAAATATAATTATACTTCCCCACCTTCCTGCTTAAGCTGCAGCTCTTTGCTAGTGAAGCTTATGTATGAACTGGTTTTCCCTTAAGATTTAAGAATCACATCAGAGAGCAATCTTCAAACTGTGCTCATTTCAAGAATTGTAATTAATATCAGAATATTTTTTTTAAAAAATTTATTTGAGATGTGTAGTCAAGAACCAATTATTCTCTGATTTGCTCCCAGAAACAGTGTCTGTGTTACTGCTGGGATATCTTAAAGTGAGCACTCCAGTTTCACAAGCATGCTGCATTTGGATTTTACAACATACGAGAATGAAAATGAGGTTTTAGAGCAGGCTCAACAGAAGTTGTGATGACTTTGCAGGGGCCCCTGTAGCACAGAAGATGGGAATTGTTTTCATGAATGAACAAAGTTCATTGGTGTACTGTAATACACCAACGCACGACATGGGCCTGGAGTACTTTGACAGGCCTGAGGCCTCTGTCAATTGCCTATGACCCCAGGAGACTCACAGAAGGAGAAAGAAAGTCAAACCGTGCCCTGTATGAGTTGAACAGCCACTAGTTTCTACTTCTTCGATTTTCTGGCTGTATTTTATGATCTTGTGCAATCTTCACCCCAGCTTTGGAAGGCGAGTTGACTTGTCTTTTAGAAATATTTGAAATGTTAGAAAAACCAAGATGAAGTCCTGCGTTCCCCTAGGTGAAGGAAAGCAGCAGGCGTCACGGAGCTGTCTTCCTTTCGGCTGTCTGACGTATCAGGGCTGCTGGGAGGAAGAGCCGTTCTCCCTCCCGCCGCAGGGCCAGAGAGGTCCGCCAGGTCTCGAGGCAACACAGTGACCTCACTCACCGGACGGCACAGCCAGGCGTGTGAGAACTTCCGAGACGGGGACACAAACATTGTCACTTATTCAGACCTGCCCGTTATCGGCTACAGGCCGTAACGATTTGGCCCAACTGCAACACTGCCTGACAGGAGTAATCCCTCAAATCCAGATTAATGTGTGTGTGTGCCACAGTGCCAGGAAGGGACATGTGTCACAATTAACTACCAGCTCGTTTAGATGTAGTAATCCTAACATATTTAAAGAGGAAATTATATGGGAATGTTTAAGGTTATTTTAATGTTTGTGTTGCTGTGTATGATGGCAGTGAAACTGTTCCGATTATCAGGATAAATTATCTAACAAGTTAGTTAAAAAACATTTTTTTCATTTAAATCATATTTCCAATTAAAGACAGGGCTGTATCTTTATACAGCCCTGTATCTGCAGCTTTCCTTCCAAATTCTGAAATTCTATTTATCGATAGCTACACACCTGACCAAATACATAGTTCTATTTTTGTTTGCTGTTCATGAAAGATACGGGATTAATTTAATTTCCGTTGTTTTACAATGTCTGATAGTGTACTTCTATAAAAATATTGGACAATACCGTACGCTGGGGTACACTGTGTGTAATTAGATTATAGTTTTTTGTCAAACGCAAACAAAAATAATTGTAAAAATGGTGCTGACATGAGTATCACCTTGTCAGAGAGTAGCTGAAACTTGCAGAGAAAATGAGTCGCCTCTAATCCAATGCTTATTTTTCTAAAACCTTTTTAACAAACCCTTCTTAAGACAGTTTCGACAAATTTACAAACATCATTAAAAGTTACACAGATAAAGTATAGAAAGTAAACTGGTATTTGCTCAGGCCATATTCGCTCTGCTGACAAAGGTGTGTCTAAAAAGTGAACCATCACAGTTTGCCAGGTCATCCCTGTTTCTGCCTCATACTGCTGTGGCGTTTGAGCAAATTCAATAGCAGAGCAGCATCCAAAACAGTTGCCTTGAAGCTCCTTTGACACTTCAGCAAAGAGCTGTATCTAATGCAAGCGGTTTGAGCTCATGGACGGGTAGATTGTTTCCACATCAGGCCCACGGCGGCTCATCCTGCGGTCGGTACCGTCAAGCAGACGAGAGAGCGGGTGGGTGCACTTGAACCCACAACCCATCAGTCCGGAGAGCCCGGAGACGATCTGCGTGCTCCTTTTCAAACATTCGTTACGCAGGCTCCTTGTAAAACTATTTACAACATTCTGTGGTCAATGATTTACATTGAGTTTTTAGAATAGAAACATCAAGTGGAGAAGTAAAAAAGAACATATCTAGAAACAAGACAAAAACACAACCAGGTAGATGAAGAGCGTTGCTTCCCGTAGGATCGGAGATCCCTTAGGCCGCGGAGATCTGGGAATCTTCAAAGAGAAAGTTGGCCCGGCCGGGTATTGTAACCGGGTGTACCAGCGGTTTCACAGTTTAGCACATCTTTAAACGGAAAAGCTGTCCCTACGATATCTGATTTGTCTATTACTGGTTCTAGAATGGACCTCTGTGGATGGGACTGGAAATGAGTTATTGTGGTTGTGGAGAAAAGTTTTTGTACAGATTGCAGACTCTGTGCACCTTTACTGTCTGCGTTCGGGTGAAGGTGTGAATTCCTCGGATTGGGAGCTTGAGAGTATTGTGTCCAGATATTCAGTGTCCAGTCCGTTGGACAGTAGCCACTTGACAGTAGGCAAACAAAAAAAAAATCTTTCATCGTGTACGTTTGTTCTTTATTTCAGATCTGAACTCCGGGTCAGTTCCCCAGCCACGTTTTCCGGCCTGCTATATTGTCTCTCCTGCTCAGCTATTTAAAAAATGTTGAATATCAACAATGGCTTTCAGCGGTGTATTGTCAACTTTTGTATGAAGCAATCTTGGTTGAATGAGACGGTCCCAGTGCTGAGTTCTCCCTCCACCGAGCGCAGTGGGACTGCAGGCTCCTGCCCGCGCGCAAGGTACTGGCCGAACGCAACCGTGCAGCTTCTTTTCACCGGTCTCGCGGGTGCCGTGCGTGACTGCAGGGTGCGTGCACACGGACAAGTGTGCCCACGGGCGTCAGTCCTTTCATGCCGTTCAGGGGCGACGGTGCGGCCCGCCTTTAGGTAAGTCTGTTTTGTGCGGTTCATTTTGGGGGGGTAGGAAACGCGTTATCCGTTGTGAATATTTATGTTTCATGGCGCGACGTTTTCAGGTAGAAGTCGCAATTGCCGCTTGCTTGTTCTGTAAGACTGGTGTAAAAGTGCCGTCACGTGTGTGTGTGTGCATAGGTGCACGTGCTGGTGTCCCATCTGTCAAAGCTCGTTCTAGGACATTGCCTACAATTTTTTGCAAGTTTTGCTTTTAAGGTTTTCAAAACAAAACTTCATTTGTGTGCTGACTTTGATACAATTCGTGATTTGCTGTGATGTTGTGATTTTTTGTGATCCGATGATATTTTTTGTGATATAATCTGATATTGTGTGTGAAATCTTAATTATTGCGCCTCAATACAGAAACGTTAGAATTACGACAAAGAACCTGGAATCGAGAAGATAGCCTAGGACGTATTTTAGAAAACATTACCCACTCTGTATTTCACCATTTTAATTTTTAAACGAGATTTATTTCCATAGCCAAGGAAATGTATTCTTGATACAACGATGTGTTGACTTTTATTTTTGCTTTTCAATATGTTTAAGAATCCTCAGTTTACAATTTGCCCCAGTCTCAGTCTTTTAAAGGAAATGTGTATTTTATAGTGCAAGATATACTTTAACCCCCGGTGTTTTTATCATGGCTCTGGTTGATGCTGTTGCAATCTGTATGAGAGGTTCCCCATGAGGGAAATATTATACCTTTTCTAAAAAGAAGTGAAGGCATAGCTGCACAGCGCCTGGCGTGGAGGAATTTTTAAAGATCCCACAACTTAAAATATCGTAAAGTGATCAACGAAATTTAACTGCATTAAATCAATCCCAAAATGAACGAAAGAGTGCACAACTAGTTTTTAAGCCATATATTAGAAAACTGTTAGGTGTCACTGTCTTCAGCAAATTAATCTTAGTTACAGGTATTTGTGGTATCATGAGAAAAAAACCTAGTAATATCAGCACATATTACTAGGTTTATAATATAGTATAGTAATAACAGAGAGCGAATAGAAATGTTGCGTTTGTTTTTTTTTAAAAAAAACATGCTGCGATGTATCGTCAAAATATTTCCTAATTGTTCTTGTATTTTAATGTTTTAAATGCAGTAAAAATGACAACAAATAATGATGATTGTGGAAGATTTGACTCCGAGATTAAGCCCCTTCTGAGTTTTAAAGCCCTTAATGAACATTACCCCAACGATTGACACGCTGTGGCATGAAATCCGTGTTGCCAGATCATCAGGGCTTAATAAATAAATCATTCGTGCCTGTTCTGGTCTCATTCCTCTAATACAGTAATATTGTTTCAAGGGGTAATGAGGTGATAAATCATTGTGTTTTTTTACAGCACATTACCTCTGAAAACAGTCAATCCTTACACATATCTCGGACACTGGAGAGCGCTCAGCATTTCTGTCACATCGGTCTTCTGCATCGTAACGTAATTATTCTCTGAGCCTTGGCAGTTACGGAAATGTGGGTATTATATTTGCTAAAAGCGCATCAAGTAAAAGATACAGTGTTTTAAAGTGTCATGAAAGTACCGGTTTTAATTGTTTTGACGTCTTTAAGGCCCTGTTTAATGTTCTGTGTTCAACCCCAGGAATTTTTGCCTTTGAAGACAAGTTTGCCGAAGACAAATATATAGACACAATATAGGCATCATTTTTACCTCTCAAGATCCTAACTCTGCTGCGGCAGACACGGTCTAATTCCAATAGTCGCAGATGCTTTTGAAGGCAAATGTGTTACTTAGAGCCTCAAGTTTCTACGCCAGAGTACCCTTTCTTCTTCTAAAGCAATTTATATTCTTTAAATAATTGCAATTTTATAAATCTGTTGAGGACGCTGGTGCACCATTAAAACAACAACAACAACAACAACAACAACAACAACAACAACAACAACAACACAAAACTAGATTCTATTTATTCTTTCTTCAGTAGAAAAAAACAACACCCATATCATTCGCAGTTGAAAACCTACGTTTACAATAAAAGCAGCTGGGTATCGTAGCAAACGCGAAGGATGTTTCAGTCATTTCAGTGATCACATTACGCAGTTTATAACCTCTGCGATCAAATCGGCGACCACTCTAAAACAGGTTGGAACTTGCGAAAGTACTATTTCGTGAGGGGAAAGAGAATCTGCGCGATCAACCTCGGCAACAGAAGAACAGTTTTTGGGTTTTTTTTTTTTCCGGCCGCTGGGATGCGGAAGAACAAGGGGAGAGCCTGTGTGCGGTCCCGCGCGGACTGGGGCCCCCCGACCCCCCTCTTTGTCCGGCTGTCAGTGACCCCCCCCCCTCTCCCAGCACCTTGGACCTGGCTTGGACACGTCAGTCTGCGCGCTACGGAGCCGTCAGCTGTGGAGAGATCGGCCCTCCGGGGATCAACGACAGACTCCGAGCTCCCCGACATGTCCATCACCCGCTCCCGAAAAAAAGGGCGACCGCCCGGCGGCCTGTGACCATAAAAAGGTCCGACGTGTCTGCGGATAACACGCCCGGAAGCAGAGAGCCTACTTCGGGAAACGCACACCCCCTCCTCCGAGTTTAAATCTCTTTGCTTTGCTCCCTCCCTTTTTTTAAAAAAGAAAAGCAGATAGCAGAGTTGTGAAAAATGTCATATTTGACGTCATGACTCCCGAAGGCGCAGTGGAGATGATGTCCCCCCCCTTTCAAGTCAAGCATTAGAAACTGACTGAAGCTTACAGTACATTGTCTTGATGCATTTATAAGTGTGCCGCTTAGGTTGGTAATGTTTCATAAAGTTTACACTCTGTACTTTATAAATGAGCACGAGCAATTTTATAACAAAGGTTATAAAATTAAATGTTACTCTGTACATTTTCAGTTTTCAGGAATTGCTGAAACTCAGCTGTGGGATATATTTAGCTCTTCTTAGAAACCAGACTTATTAGAAATAAGGCAGGTTTACCCCCCAGGTGTTCCTCAAGCTAAAATAAACTGTTTGGTAATATAATATTACTTTAATTTTATGTTTTAATATAAAATTTTATTACTTAGCTTTTTCTTGTTTCTGTAGCCAGTTAATAATGCACTTTGAAGGATAGCACATAGTACCAGGACAGAATATAAACTAAAAAGAATGT